TCAATGGGATGTACGAGTAATTCCACAAGATAGTATAGATCATGTTTTGAAAGATTTTCAGACGTATTGTATCAGTTTAGAAAAAGAGCTTCAACAAAAATTTACAGGTGCAAAAATTGTCACAAAAGAACATCATCCACCTGTGCCACCATTGAGCACCGAAGAAGATTCAACTATTGTGAAAATTATTAATGAAATTACAGGAAACAACAGTGTTCAAACAGTTGCTTATGCTGCAGAAGCTGGTCAGTTTTCACAAGGTGGATTTGAAACCATCATTTGTGGTCCAGGTGATATTGCACAAGCACATCGTGCCAATGAGTTTGTAGCAATATTTGAATTAGAAAAATGTCTGGAAATGATAAAAGGGTTAATTTAATAATGCCCAAGTGCAGAAATAATGACCACTAGTTTATCAGGTTCTTCGATCACCTGATAGATAAGTCTGTCTTTTTTATTAATCCTTCTACTCCAATATCCAGATAATTTGTGTTTTAATTGTTCGGGCTGACCAGAACCAATGAATGGATGAGATTTCAATTCTTCTAAGATATTTTCAAGTTTGTTTTTATCTGATTTATTACCAGATTTTGTAATTTTTCTGATATCTTGAAGAGCTTTATCTTCAAATTTAACAATATACTTCGTCATCCAAATAACTCTTTGTGCAATTTATCATCATATGTGATTGTATTTCCATTTTTTGCACTTTCGGCTCTTTCCAATACCATCTTGACAAATTCAGGATCATATGGTTTTTCTTTTTTCTTTTTAGTCTTGAAAGTGACATTCAGTCCTTTTAGAAAATCTTTGATCTTCTCTGTAGTGGTACTGTCTGTGCTGTCAATGATAATGGTCTCCATGTAAAATGTTATTTAATAATACAAAGTTAAGGTATTTAATTTGAAAAATCAAATATGTTCTGAATAGGAGTAGATAATTGATCGTTGTAGTTTGAAACTTCAAAGGACGAGTCGCAAGATATCCAAATCACAACATCATCAAATAAATAACAGATCATCGAAGCTATTAACTTAGATGGTAGACTGTAGTTTTTCCCCAAAAAAAAACGGGAATACCAGATTTTTATCTAATATTCCCGTTATATGTTGTTACTTTATTTAACTTTATTCTACTTTCTAAGACCTTCAAAAAGCCAATTAGCTAGTGCCTGTCTATTATAATTTTTAACTAGTCTCTTATGATCTTCTTCATTGGTGATATTAGCAAGTTCTACGAATAGGGTAGTAGGTGCAAGGTTTCTTACCATATATAAACCACGACCTTCTACATATCCTTGATATCCGCGATCTTTTTGATGTTGAGCATATTTTGATTCGAATACTTCCTGTACTGTATTTGCTAGTTTTTCGCTAGCTTTATTATTGGCATTGTAGTAGAAGAACACATCTTGTCTAGTGTTTTTATTTCTCGAATCCACGTGAATCTCTATTGCTTTTTGGATTTTAACACCTTTTTTCTTATATTTTCTATATAAAGCATTGACATTTTCTGCTCTTTCTCTCAATCTCTTTTTTTGGTTAAGGGGAATAACACTTTTACCTAAAAGTTTTTCATCATTGTCACATTTAAGGTGCTCTTCATCCCTGATTCCATCATTTTCATCTTGTACGATCATATGTACAGTAGCACCATGTTGCATTAAATTGCGTGCAAGCCTCAGCGAAACATCATAAGCGTATTCATCTTCGCACATCATTTTGGGACAATCTTTACAAACTGCTCCTGGATCAGGACCACCGTGACCACTTATGATGTAGTAAACTTGTCCTTCTAGGCTGAAGTCTTCTATGTTTACTATTTCATATTCTGGACCCATTAAAGGCACTTTGATTTCTTTGATTCCCTTTCTTTTCATTACTGTTGTGGGAGAAAGTACAGTAACATTATTGGTCTCAGTTATTTTTTTTAATGTTTCTGTTTTTGGAGCTTCATCTTCTTTAGAATCGGCTATTTGTTTTTCTTCCGTATTTGAGTAACATTCTATTTCTTCTATAGGTACCCACAAAAGATTTTTTGTAAGGTGACTCTTAGGTTTGATGCCCAAGTTTTTGACTTTCGCATTATATGCTTCTATTCTTTTTGCTAGATCTTTATCTTTGATACCTACAGTAGATCGAATACTTTTACCATTAAATTTATATAATTTCACTGGGAGTTTGTATTCTTTTAGAGCAATAATGATATTTTTATTTTTGATCTTATTGATATCACAAAACAAATCAATATTACAATNATGATCTTCTAGACTACTGATTTTTACTTGTTCTTCTTTCTTTTTTTCTAGAACTAAAACTTCGCTTTCTAAATTTTCCAATAATTTTAAGAGTTCAAGTACTGTTTTTTCTAACTCTTGTTTATCATTTGTAGATTGTAATATTTCATTTTGTATTTTTCCTATTTCAGTTGTTGCTTCTTCGCTTCTTAACGCATCATTATATTTTAGTTTTATTGTTTCTAAGTCAACTCTACAACTTTCAATTTGACCATGTAGGTTTATATCATCAAGGTTCGAATTCAAGCTTTCACTTAGTTTATGTATGTGAAGTTGCACATATGCTACCTGTTCGTCTATATTTTTTGTGTTTAGAATGGTAGCTGTATATATATTTTGATGATTTGTGCATAAACTGTTAATCCTAGTTCTCAGTTTTCTACCGTCCTCAGTAAGTTGCTTTAATTCTGTATCAAGCTGTAAAACATTTTGTTCAAATTTTCTGATAACTGTAGTTAGGTTTTCTTGATCTACTTCTGTGTGGACAAAAGTGCAGACATCGCTTAAAATTTTTGTTAACGCTAATTGTTGGTTATCAATCTGTTGAGATAAAACTAATTTGTCTTTTGATAGGTTTTCTAATCTTTGACTTTCATTTATAATTAATACAATATCATTTCTGTATAAGCTAAGATTTTGATGTTTTGCCAATTTCTCATCCTTCGGACCAAAGTTGATTTTAGCTTCTTCGATTGTTTTTTTCTCAACATTTAGTTTTTCAAGCTTTAATTGTAGCTCATCTTTTTTTAGCAAAACATTTAGAACAGATGTTGACGCTAAGATTGCGTTTTTGTGTGACTCAATGATGTCGACATTTTTTATTAAGTGTTCCTGTTTTTCATTTATTTGTTCTTCTGAAAGAGAAATTATTCCATTTATATCTCTCATTATCAAAGCTATTTCTTCTCTTTTAGCTTTGGTTTTCTCAAATACTTTTTTGCCAATAATTCTATAAATTTGACTGCCAGTAATATCTTCTAGTAATTTTGCTCTTTCTTTTTCGTCTGACTTTAGAAACTTAGCAAATTCTCCTTGTGAAAGCAATATTGATCTTATGAATTGTTCATAATTTAGACCAATGATCTCTTCATTTTCAGTAGGTACCATTGATTTTTTATCACCTATATAGCTGCCAGTTACCATCGATTCTTCATCAAAAACGGACAACATCATATTGTAATCTTTGAGTTTACCTTTGCTTGTCTTTGATATACTCCATGTAGATCTATAAAACCTGTCTTTACATTGGTAATCTATTTCGGCATAGGCATCATCCGTAAAATGTGTCATTACAGAACCTATTTTTTCAATTTCTGTATTGGTTATTTTTCCATCAAACCTTGGTATTCTACTAAATAATGAAAGTGTGATGACATCTAAGATAGTAGATTTGCCAGCGCCAGTTGGTCCCGTAATTGCAAAAAGGCCTGATTCCGTAAAAGGCGATTTTGTAAAATCTATTTCGTGTTCTCCTCTTAGAGAATGAATGTTTTTGAATCTTAACTTTAAAATCTTCATAATTTTTCTAGCTTTTAGTCATTAATTTCTTCCAGCAATTGCATGTATAAATCTATCAGATCATCATTAATGGTCTCATTTTCAGTATATTCAGTCAGCTTTAATTTAAATACTTCCAGTGGTGATAGTTCCTGAATGGTCTTTGTTTCGTCTTGGAGTGTGCTTGTGGAAATTCGATTTTCTAGAAATGAAATTCTGTGTTTTAAAATTTTAAATTCTTCACCTACTATACCACTAATCAGATTGTCCAAGGCTTGAATTTTTAAAATATCTTTTTTTTCTTCGATAACTTCAATTTCTAGAAATGCTGATAACGGATATTCATTTCGATAAGATGAGAGTGCTGATTCTACTTCGGATAATGTCCCCACTATTTTTCTAAGTTCACGATATTTTGGAATTGCAACAGGTTTAATGTTTGTTATCTTTTGGTTTTCTATTTCTAAAACGATAATTCTTTTTTTTTTTTTTTGTTCTGAAAAATCTAAAAAAACAGGAGACCCACAATATCGAATATTTCCTTTTGCGCCTATCGTTTGCGGTTTATGGATATGTCCTAATGCCATATAATCAATGGCAGGATGAATGATGTCGCTTTGTAAACCTTCGAGATTTCCCACATGTATCTCTCGTTCGCTGTCAGATGTGATGGCACCATGCATGAATAGATGGCCCATAGCTATTATTGGGATTTCTGAACCATATTTATGATTTGTCAATTCCACCAGTTCATCATAATATTTTTTAATTGCTTCACTTATGGCATCCGACTTTGAGTTCATTTCAGAAGCTTTGATGGTTGGTCTGATGTCTTTATCTCTTAAAAATGGTACTGCCAAAATCACACAAGCCAACTGTCCAGTATTGTCAAAGCAAGGTATAATCATATCATGGCGGTCTTCTCTGCCACCACCTATCACCACGATATTTAGGACATCGAGCAGATGGGATGGTGCATCTAGATGGCTGACCGAGTCATGATTTCCGCCCGTGATAATGATTTTTGTCTTCGTCAGTGATAGTTTATAAAGCATTTGGTAGTAAGATTTTATATCTCGATTAGCAGGGTTTGCCAGATCAAATATATCACCTGATACTATTAGAATATCTATATTTTCTTCCTTTATATATTCTAATAACCAATCAAAAAACAGATGGATATCTTCGTGTAAGTCTTGATTGTGAAGGATCTTACCAATGTGCCAGTCTGCGGTGTGAACTATCTTCATTCAGTGTTTATGCGAAAGACCTTATCTTCGGCAATGGCAAAGATATCAGATTTTTTTTCAATTTTTATGATGGCTTTCCCTGTAAAATATCCGAATGCGGGCAGTAGACCATTATTTATGCCAAAATAAAAACATGGTAGTGTCATTTTTTGTCGGCCTTTTCCTTTGAGCGTGACGCCAGGATGGATGTGTCCTGCTAGATTGTAATAACCATTTTTTATTTCATCTTGTGGCTCGTGAGTTAGCCATAATTCATTGATAAACAGCTCTTCATATACTGTTATGCCTAGGTTAGTGTAATCTTCCATATCCATAATGTCATGATTACCTATGACAAGATCAAAAGTAATGTTTTTGAACAATGACAAGGTATTCTGAAATGTATTATAAGACTGATTCTGCACGGAGTGAAATAAATCTCCCAAAAAAATGACACGTGAAGGATGATGTTTTTCGATTAAATCAACTAAGCGATTTTCAGTTTGGGTAGCTGCGGCCAAAGGAAGATTGATTCCCGCAGCTCTGAAATGCTCTATTTTGCCAAGATGCAAATCAGCAATAATCATTACTTTTTCTGATGGAATCAAAACTGCTTTCTCTGGCAATAATTCCAAAAGATTCCCACCAATATTAATATTCAAATCGTCATAGATTATAAAGGCAAAGGTATAAAGTAAATTGGTATTTGAAAGATTTTTATGGAAAGTCTATCAGTTTAGAACGCTTGTATACTTCAAAACAAGTCGCGAATGTGACTTAATTTCAATTATCCTAGATATGAATAACACAATGTTGTCCATGGCGACAAGTGGTTAAATGCTAAGCCTATACATTTGGATCATATTTATTTACCATTTAAATTTTTAGATTATGATTACCGTAATAAACAAACTCTTTTTATTGGTCTCCTTGCTTTGGATATCTGATATCAACGTAGAAAGTAATTCACCAACGACTATTTCTGGGAAGGTGACGGATGCAGAAAATACAGAAGAACCCATACTTTTTGCTACCATTGCTATTTTTCGTGATGGAAAGTTAATTACTGGAACAGAGACCGATCTTGATGGAAATTTTATGATTGCTGATGTCCAACCGGGCACATACGATTTCGAAGCCAGTTATGTAGGTTTTGCGACTCAGAAAATTCAAGGAGTGGTAGTTAAAGCTGGACGGAATAATGTGGTCAATTTTTCTTTATCGTCTGATAATATTACCCTTTCTGAAATCAAAGTTATTGCTTACAAAGTTCCACTAATTGAATTTGACAATACAACTCAAGGCTCGACTGTCACTTCAGAAAAAATTAGGAATCTGCCTACCAAAAATGTTAATGAAATTGCGGCTAGATCTGCAGGTATATCGAGTAGAGATGGCGGTGATATTTCTATCAGAGGCTCTAGAGCGAACGAAACTGTTTATTTTCTAGATGGTGTAAGGGTAACAGGCAATCTCATACCACAATCTGAAATTCAAGGAAAAAAAGGTAAAGAGAATAATAAAACTAAAAAGGATCAAGAAGTAAAAATCATTGAACCGACACCAGAACCTGAAATAAACACTGAATCATACGATGCGATCGTAGAAAATCGGTTTGTCAGTCCACTTGATGAGGCACTTTCTACTTTTTCACTAGATGTGGACAAAGCAGCTTACGCCAATGTGAGACGATTTATCAATAATGGCGAGAAACCACCAGTTGATGCAGTTAGAATAGAAGAAATGATCAATTATTTTGAGTACTCATATCCTGCGCCAAAGGGAGACGATATCATTGCTGTTAGTACCACTTTTACCGATTGTCCGTGGAATGAAGATATGCAACTACTTCATTTAGGCCTTCAAAGCAAAAAGATAGACTTCAAAGATTTGCCAAATTCAAACATTGTTTTTCTAATCGATGTATCCGGCAGTATGGACGAGCCAAATAAACTTCCTTTGGTCATTTCTTCCTTCAAATTATTGTTGGATCAGTTGAGACCTGAAGATCGTGTAGCCATTGTTACCTATGCTGGACGTGCTGGAGTGGCTTTACCATCTACACCTGCATCAGAGAAACAAAAAATTATCGAAGGACTAGAAAGACTTTCTGCAGGCGGATCTACAGCAGGAGCAGAAGGCATCATCACAGCATACGAAATAGCAGTCCAAAACTTCATCAAAGATGGAAATAATAGGGTAGTGCTAGCGACAGACGGAGATTTTAATGTGGGCATCTCTGATAATAAAAGTCTTGAGACTTTGATTGAAGAGAAACGTAAAACAGGCGTTTTTTTATCAGTTTTAGGATTCGGAATGGGCAATTACAAAGACAGTAAAATGCAGATTCTAGCTGACAAAGGCAATGGTAATCACGCATACATTGATGATATTCAAGAAGCTGGGAAAGTCTTAGTCAGTGAGTTTGGTGGAACGATGTACACCTTAGCCAAAGATGTGAAATTTCAGATAGAATTTAATCCTGACGCAGTGCAATATTACAGATTGGTTGGTTATGAAAATAGGATGCTTGCCAAAGAAGATTTTAATGATGATACCAAAGATGCTGGCGAATTGGGTATGGGACACCAAATGACTTCCATCTACGAAATCATTAGAAAGGGTAAGGAAGTAGATAAAAAGTCAAATGTTGATGAACTTAAGTATCAAAAAATATCAAAATCAAATGAAAATCAACCTTTTGCTAATGAATTGGGTACCATAAAATTTAGATACAAAGCTCCTGATAGTGACGTAAGTAAAAAATGGGAACAAGTAATTTCTACCGATACCCAAAAAATATCCAAATCCAATAGCGATGTGCAATTTTCTACCGCAGTGGCCTTCGCAGGTTTGTTACTCAGGAATTCGGGGTCTGTACAAGACAAAGATTATGAAGATATGATAGAACTTGCCGATAAGGCTCGTGGGAAAGACAAAGATGGTTATAGAGCAGAATTCATTAGACTCATGAAAACCACCAAAGCCCTGCACTCAAAAGGTTTGTCAGCAGTAAGTAATTAGATTTTGCAGCATATAAGTTTTTATTTGGGAAATTAGTGATTTGAGTCTCCTTGCAGCACGGGTGAATGAAGTTTTACCCGTGCTCAATTTTTCTACCCTGATCAGATAGCTTAAAGACATTGGATCGGTTTTTAGACCGTTTCTTATGTCAACTTATTGTACTTAATAATAAAAATTTAATAATTTACTTTTTAACAATCTCAGCAATATACTCATATTCATACCCTTTGCTCATCGCAAAATCAGTCAGTTTTTTCATACGGTCATATTGGTTTTTGAAGGTTGTCGTTCTTTCTTTTTTTATGATAAGCTGCTCGAGCGTTTGAAAATATTCTTTATCATTGATTTCTTTCATTGCCTCTTGGATAGAGTAGGGTGATACTTGTCTGAATTTTAATTCTTGTTTGATTTTGATCCTTCCCCATTGTTTCATTCTGAATTTACCCCGAGCAAATGTCCTTGCAAATCGCTCTTCATCAAGAAAATTATTAGATATCAAATCTGCCAAAATCTCTTCGAGCGTATCTCCATAAATACTGTATTCTATAAGTTTATACCTGACTTCTTGATGACATCTTTCTTGAAGAGCACAATACTTTTGCATGTTGATAATGGCTTCTTCCTTTGACCAATATTTCTTTTTTTTATCTGCGAAGTCGTCTGTTGTCATAATAAAAATGGCAGATCGGGTAAGATCTGCCAATAATTAAGGGTGTTAATAAGAATCTGCTACAAATGTAATGGCATTTATTGACATAGTCAAATAAATGAGTTAGTATTAACATTTAAGGACTTTATCTTACTAATATTCTTTTAAATATCCATCACATTCCACTCTTTTCACTTAGCTTTTTGTAGGCCACTTTTAATCCTGCTAGCTTTTGTATCTCGTATATACCTGGTTCGTTATTGATTTCGAGTACTTCTATTTGTTCTGAATATACTTGCTTCGATACCATTGATTCTGCGCCATTAGCACTAATATTATCTGAATTAAAAATAGTCAGCACACCCAAAATGGTAACAAACGCTGCTGCAATCCACATATATTTGCTTAATGGCATTTTAACCACTTTTTTATCCTGACCTAATTTTTCTTGGATCCTATTCCATGCATTTGGCGTGGGGCTTGATTTATGGTCAAGTGCTTTTTTGTAAAGTTCGGTTTGATTATTTATGTTCATGATGATCATTTTATTATTTTATTTTAAATGTCAGATTTTCTTTTTTTTTAAGAATTTCGTACAATCTTTTTTTAGCAAGAATGAGTTGAGATTTTGATGTATTGATACTGATTCCTAGCATTTCGGCTATTTCTCGGTGCTTCATATCTTCGAAGACGTATAAATTAAAAATCGTCCGATATCCTACGGGCAATTCATCGAGAACTTTCATTATGTCATCGAAGGACATGTCATCTTCATCTTCTTGACTGTCAGCTATTTCTTTATCTGGGAGTTCTACGGTAAGGTGCAGATTGGTCTTTTTTCGAAGAAACATCAAAGATTCATTGACCATAATCCTACGCATCCAACCTTCAAAACTACCTTCGCCCTTGAAGTGGTCGATTTTGGTAAATATCTTGTAAAAGGCATCAATAAATACATCTTCGGCGTCGTGAGATGACTTGATGTAACGGAGACATACAGCATATAATGTATCTTTGTAAAGATCATAAAGCACTTTTTGTGCGTCAGGATCTTGACTTTTACATTGATTGATGATATGTTCCAAATTAGCAACCATAGGTAATATATAACAATATTTACACTACTAAGATGCTGAGAATTAATTTTTTGGTGTGAAGGTGTAACAAAAGATTATGGATTTATCATAGTTCCATCACTATTAGTGTTAGCTACCATCCTTTCATCTTTCGTTTTTATTTGATTTAGTTTGAAGACCATCTCGTCTCTGAACTTGAAGAATTGTGGCAATTCTGTCACATTCATTGGTTTTGCGGTAGGCAATTTCTCTTTGAGATGATTTACTTGTCTGCCGTTTTTCCAGAATCTGAAACAAACATGTGGTCCTGTAGATAGACCTGTAGAACCCACATAACCAATTGTTTGGCCTTGTTTTACTCTGACACCTGGTCTTATTCCTTTAGCAAACCTTGACATATGCAAGTATTGTGTTTCGTATACATTGTCATGTTTGATTTTCACAAATTTGCCATTCCCACTAGTGTAAGCTGAAGCTGTAACTACACCATCAGATACGGATCTAATTTCTGTACCGTGTGGTGCCGCATAATCTGTACCAAGGTGCGGTATAGTTTTACCTTTGATGGGATGGAATCTTCTTAGATTATAATTTGATGATATTCTTGAAAACTTCACTGGAGCTTTTAGGAATGCTTTTTTTGCAGGTCTACCTTCTGAATCGAAATATCCTTCTTCACCTTTTGTCTTGTACAGCATGGAATAATTTTCTCCATTATCATTCGTATAGCAAGCAGCAATTAATTTGCCCATTCCTACTAATTCTCCATCTACATATTGATTTTCAAATATTAATTTGAACTCATCTCCTTTTCTTGTGTGGTAAAAATCGACAGAGCTTGATAAGGCATCTTCCATAAGATCGATAACACCTGGATTGATACCTTTATCTTCTAAGGCTTTCCATAATGATGTTTCTATTTTACCGTAAGCGAATTCTTCACAAGTCTGAACTTCCTTTTCTACCAATTTTACCTGAACCGAATCTCTAAAGTCATACAATACGTACTTCATTCTATCTGGTTCGTAAATTATTGCTACAGGGGTATCATCACATTCGTTTTTCTTGATGACGTGGTATTTTTGTCCTGGTCTTATGTTCCTTACGTTAAATATATCTTTTGCTTCGTGTTCAAGCAACAAAATAAGATTAGAAGTTAATCCATTTGAGCTCAATATGTTACCAAAAAATTCATTCTTCTTTATAACATGATTTTTTTCAATGTGAAATGAATCCACGTTAAATCCGTATAAATATTCTGAAGGTTTTTGGCTAATGGTTTTATCTGATTTTTCTGTCAGGTTTGTAAAATTAAACCCTTCAGATTTATAGTTTAGTATGATGATTGTTGCGATGACAAGAGAAACTGCTATATCGACATAACGATTTTTTAGCTTACTCATTTTTAATGGTGTAAGGTTCAAAATGAAGGCGGTTTACGGTGTAAATTAAATATTAAAATTCTCTGATTGTCTTAAAGACAGCGCAAGATAGACTAGTAAACTTATATATCCAAAAAAAAATGTGTTAAATATTTTCTAAAACTTCATCGAACACATATAAAAAACAACTCATATCCATGTCTCGGACCAATAGAATTATAGCATTTTTCCATTTTTTGAATATTAAATTTTCCAAAGAATAATTTTTCATATTCTTCTTTGGTGCCACCAAAAGGCGGTCCATTTTGCTCAAAAATCCTGTCAAACAGTACTCCAGCAATTTTACCGCCATCATTTAATAGTTCATATGTCTTATTTATATAATTTTTGCGCAATGACGGATCCAAGGCACAAAAGAATGTTTGCTCTAAAATGAGATCATATTGCCCATTTAAGTCAAAAAAATCTCCAGTTATAAGCTTTACGCTATCTTTGGGCACAACATTTTTTAGTTTTGAAATAGCAATTTTCGAAATGTCACATATTGTAATGTTTTTAAAGCCTTTTTCTAATAGATAGTTAACTTCATGTGCATGCCCAGCTCCAGGAATTAAAATTTTTATCGTTTTATCTTTTAATTGATCAATATAGTCAGTCAATGGTGGCGATGCTTTTCTTATATTCCATGGAGTATCATCATTTAAATACTTTTGATCCCAGAAATTTGCGTCTAAGTTGACTGGCATTATGATATTTTAAATCTATTTTATTGCAATACAGCTTATCTCAACGTTCACGTACTTTGGTAAGTTTGCAACTTCTACCAATTCTCTCGCAGGTGCGGTATCGTCATTAAAGTATGATGCATACACGTCATTAATACGTCCATACATTTCCATATCAGATACAAAAACACTGCATTTTACTATATTTTCATAAGTCATACCTGCTTCATCTAGGATATATCCAATATTTTTCATGACTTGGTGCGTTTCAGCTTCGATGGTGTCTGTTATAAGTTTGCCCTCAGCATGATTGATAGCAATTTGACCTGACATATATAAGGTGCCATTGGCTAGTACTGAATGATTATAAGGTCCTACTGGTGCTGGGGCTTTAGGGCTATTAATGATGGTTTTCATATTTGTAAATGCTTTTGAATTAAGTTATTGAATTTTTGTGCGGCTATTGGAAATTTTATTTTTGCAATAATATAACAAAGAAAGCTCCGCAAGTTGTTAAACAAGGGAGCTCTATATACTTTTTTGAAAAGAATAAATTATTCTACTTCTTCTACTTCTTTAGCTTGGATTACTACTTTTCCTTTGTAAAACATGCTACCTTCATGCCAGTATGCTCTGTGCATAAGGTGTGGTTCGCCTGTTGTTTTACAAATTGCCAATTGAGGAATGACCGCTTTATGGTGCGTTCTTCTTTTGTTTTTCCTTGATTTAGAGACCCTACTCTTAGGATGTGCCATTTTTCAAAAATTTATATGATTATCAATCTTTATTTAAAATTACTCATCTAGGTTTATATCCTTGAGATTTTCCCAGATTTTGTTTATCGTTGGTTCTGTATCTATTTTGACATCTTCACTTAACTTTTTAAGCACATTCATGTCACATTTACGAGGTTCTTCGTTTTCACAATCATAAATATTCATTAGCGGCAAGGCCAAAACTATGAATTCGTATATGATTTGAGATAAATCAAGATGTGAATGATCTTCCTTTATAAAGATTACTTCGTCATCTTCTGATATTTTATTACTTACTTTTACAAGTATATGGTTTTTAGCATTCACAGGCAATCTGATATCTGCTAGGCATCTGTCGCACAAAGCACTAACATGGCCATTAATATCAAAATCCAGCTCGCTCAATCCTGATCTTTTATCAAGGTTAACATGGATATCAAAATCTCCTTCAATAATAGGGGAGTTTTCAAACAATGCAAAAAAGCTGCTGTCAGCCTTAAACTGGTATTGATGTAAACCATCTTTTATGCCAATGTAAGGTACCGAAAAATGCTCCAAAATACTCATATCAAAAGAACTTTTTCTAAATGGAGCGCAAAGATATAAACTTATAATATATTTTGATAATCTTTTCCATAAAAAAAGTTGGTTTTGAGTTTATCTTATAAATTTAATCACCATTTTTGATTGATTTATTCTAAATTAGTCTCAAATCGCTCAAAATTATGACAAAAATCTCCTGAGCGTACATTTTTTTTAAAAAAAGATATACTTTTGTCACCTATGACAGGAGAGTTAATGAAATCTTATTATCCAAGAATAGAGATTCTTGATGAGGAATACGAAATTCCGCAACTTGGCCGCAAACGCCGTATTTCAGTGTTGTTGCCTCATGACTATTATCAGACAGATAAAAAATATCCAGTTTTATACCTTCATGATGGTCAAAATCTATTTGACGAGTATGCACCTTATGGAAATTGGGGAGTAGATAAAACGTTAGATATGATGGCTAGTCGCGGACTTGGCGATGTTATTATAGTGGCAATAGATCATGGTGGTACTTTGCGTATACAAGAATATTTACCATATTCAACACCTAGATATACGGATGCTGAAGGCCATTTGTATCTGAAGTTTATGCTCGACGACCTTAAACCAATGATAGATAATAGGTACAGAGTTTTACGAGACAGATGTTCTACTGGTATCGGAGGGAGTAGTCTCGGTGGCCTGATAAGTCTTTATGCTGGCTTTAAATACCCTGAAATATTTGGTAATATGATGATTTTTTCGCCAAGTCTCTGGATTTCTGAAGAGATTTATGAAATGGCAAAAGACTTTATGCCAGCTGGTCCTACAGATATATACTTGTATGCAGGTGGAATGGAAAGTGCTAATCATTATGGTCAAGTCCTGAGATTGGAAAATATCCTTCAAGAAAAAAGAAGGTTCGATGATTTTGACATCATATTTTCGCATAATCCTACAGGACAACACAAAGAAATACATTGGGGAGAGCAATTTCCGCTTGCCTTAAAATGGCTATACTACAATAAATATTAAAAATATAATAATGCCACTACAATTTAAATCTACGCCATCAAAAAAGGCCAATACAATATTAATAGCATTTGTAAAAGATAAAGTAGACCACCAACTTATTAAAGAATACGGTGGATTAAAATATGATATAGAAGTTAAAACTAATGGTAAGGATTTGACCAGTTTTCTTCATCCAGAAAAAAATCAAAGAGTTCATATTTTAGGTTTAGGGGAAGAGAAAGATCAAGCAAAATCATACACTTTTTATAGAAGTTTTGTGTACCAGCAACGTGCCAAAAAAGATATGGTGCTAGACATCATAACAGACAATTTAACTGATGATCAAATAGTTAATGTTGTATTGGGAGCTAGATTGGGTTTGATTAATCATGGTATTTATAAGACGAATGGTGATAAATATGTAGAGCCAGAAATAAATATTGTGATTTCAAAATCGAGGGTAAAAATAGCGGAACTAGGATTAAAAATTGCAGAGACGCAACTTAGATCGATGCATTTAGTGGATTTGCCACCTAACGTAAAAACGCCACAATATCTTGGAAAACATGTAGTTGCGTCAGGAAAAGAGTTTGGATATGATGTTAAAGTCATGGATGCCAAAGAATTAAAGAAGAATGGTTTGGATGCATTAACTGCAGTTGGTCAAGGTAGTGCCAACCCTCCAGTCCTTATTATAATGGAGTATAAACCCAAAGGTAGTAATTCGAAGACACCGAAATTGGGACTTGTAGGAAAAGGAATTACATTTGATACTGGAGGACTTTCTATCAAGCCTTCGACCAACATGGGTTATATGAAAAGCGATATGGGTGGCGCTGCAGCAGTTATTGGTGCGATAGAATTAGCTGCAAAATTGAAGCTTGATATACATTTAGTAGGAGTTATACCAGCCGCTGAGAATAGTGTGGATGCTAATAGTTATCGGCCTGGAGATGTAATAAATTCTTATAGTGGGAAATCTATAGAGATTATAGATACAGATGCAGAGGGTAGGGTAGTTCTTGCTGACGGCCTAGCATATATTCTAAAAAATTATAATCCTACGTATTTAGTCGATCTTGCCACACTTACGGGTAATTGTATTGCTGCATTGGGATATAGCACATCGGGAATTTTTACGCATAATGATGAAATGGCTACTGATCTCACGGCTGCCGGAGAGTCTGTGCATGAACGTGTATGGCGTCTACCATTGTGGGATGATTATGCACCAGATATGCATTCTGACATTGCAGATATAAAGAATTTCAGTGGCAAACCAGTGGCAGGAGCTATTACAGCAGCAAAGTTTCTGGAAGCTTTTACTTCGGAACATCCAAAATGGACACATATTGATATTGCTGGAGTTGCTTTTTCTGATAGTGAGTTCGCAAAAATGCGTACTGCTACAGGTTATGGTGTGAGGTTGTTGTACACCTATATGAATATGCTGATAAACAAGAAGTAAGATATTAATCTTTTTCTTTATTCATCATGATCCAAAGCGCATCTTTTAGCTCAGTAAGACCTTTTTCGGCGACAGAAGATATAAAATAATATGGTATATCTACTTTCATTTCCTTTTCGATTAGTTTTCTGAGTTCATCGTCTACTAAATCTATTTTTGTAATAGCCAGCATACGTGGTTTATCTACAAGTTCGGGATTGTACATTTTTAACTCATTAAGCAAAATGTCGTATTCCTTGCTGATATCTTCCGCATCTATTGGAACCATAAAAAGCAAGACTGAATTCCGCTCTATGTGTCTTAAAAATCTGAGTCCCAAACCTTTACCTTCATGGGCATTTTCGATGATACCTGGGATATCTGCCATGATGAATGACTTATGGTCTCTGTATTTTACAATTCCAAGGTTAGGTATAAGCGTTGTGAATGGATAGCTAGCTACTTCTGGTTTTGCCGCTGTGATAGTAGCCAAAAGACTTGATTTACCAGCATTTGGGAATCCTACCAAACCTACATCTGCAAGGACTTTCAATTCAAGTACTTTCCAAACTTCTTCACCAGCTTCTCCAGTTTGGGAGTATTCAGGAGTTTGATTAGTGGCAGATTTAAAATGTGCGTTACCTAGACCACCTCGACCTCCTTTAGCAAGGATTCTTGTTTCGTCGTGTGAAGTGATTTCAAATTCTATTCGACCTGTTTCAAAATCTTTTGCGACCGTACCCAGCGGTACATCAAGGATGACGTCTTTACCACTAGCACCAGTACTTTGATTACCAGTACCAGGCATTCCTGGAGTTGCTATGACGTGTTTTTTGTATTTTAGTGCAAGGAGTGTCCATACATTTGAGTTTCCTCTTAATATGATATGGCCTCCACGACCACCATCTCCACCATCTGGTCCGCCCATACTATTCATTTTATCACGGAAAAAGTGAGAAGATCCAGCGCCACCGGCTCCAGACCTGCAACAAATTTTTACGTAATCTACAAAATTCTGTTCAGCCAAAATGTTTATTTTTATGTGAAAATGACAAATGTAAAGCTAAATAACGCTTAAATGAAATTTATAAGTCGTTAATTACAGTTGTCAATCGATTGAATATCTCATCCTTACTGCCAGTACCTGGTATAAGTTTGGATTTATTCTTGGATTTATAATATTCGAAAACTGGTGCTGTTTCAGAATTATACACCGCAATTCTATTTCTTATGATGTTTTCATCCTTATCATCAGCCCTGCCTGAAGACTCACCTCTGCCGAGTAGACGTTTAACAAGCTCTTCTTCAGGAACATCCATGGCAATCAAAGCTGAAACTTCAGTATCTTTTTCTGCTAAGAATGCATCAAGTGCTTCTGCCTGTGGGATAGTACGTGGAAAACCATCAAAGATGATACCCTTAGCTTCGGGATTAGCATTGACTTTATTTTTGAGCATACCAATGGTAACCTCATCAGGTACCAATTCTCCTTTGGCCATATATTCTTTGGCTTTCAGACCTAGTTCGGTATTATTACCCATTTCATATCGGAATAAATCACCTGTAGAGATGTGAAGGATTTCATATTCTTTGATTAAGTACTCAGCTTGGGTACCTTTGCCCGATCCTGGAGGACCGAATAAAATTAGATTTAACATTTTGTTTTTGCTACGTTGAGGTGTAAAGATACTTATTAACCAATTAAAAAACTTCATTTTTTAAATAATAGTTTCATGTAAGTGAAATTATTTTGATATCACATCTACACCAAATAGAAATCTAGAATTCCAGTATTCAGAGTTTGATATGTTATCTATTTTAACACCAGCTGATGTGGTGCTGTGGACTATTTCTAATTCATCAGGTTTATTGCTAGCAACGATTGCAACATGTGAAATTCTATCTTCGTTACCAAAAAATACCAAATCACCTGGTAATAAATTATTTTTTGACTTTTGTTTGCCCAGTTTCGCTTGCTGATCAGATGAACCAGAAATCGGAATGCCATTCAAGTTGAAAACGAAAGATGTAAATCCACTGCAATCAAAACCTGTTTCTGGCGTTTTGCCTCCTGGTTTGTAATCTCTTCCCGTATATTTCATTGCACTCAAAACTATTTCATCTCTAGTCATAAGATTGCTTTCGCTCTTTTTGACAGTTGAAGCAGATTTAGTATGATAGACATATTTTTTGTCTTCATATGTCTTTTGTTTGGCTGATTTTTCACGTTTTTCAGCACTCGAATATTTTGAACTTCTTTTGGTTGTTGTAGAAGGACTACATGATGTGATAAGCAAGCCAAATAAGCACAAAAATAATCCAAAAGTGGTATTTTTATTGATAAACATAATTGTTAAAATTAAGTGATAAATCTTCTAAATATGCAATTTAAATATTACATATTTATTTAATATCAAAAACTATGCCTTTCTTCTTCTCTACATACTTTGAAGGTTCTGAATTACATAATAATTCTTATCTATTTCAATTTTATCTGCTGTTTTTAGTTTGAGTGTTTGCCATTTTTCTGATGGTTTTATTATAATTTTTTGACCTTGTGAGATCACATCTACAGGCATATCAAACCCATCAATACTGTTGCTCCATCTATATTTTAGTTTCTTTTTATCTTGCATGTATTCCAAAACAGGAATCTCAGTTGTTCGTAGATATTGGTCAAAAAGCTTCTGGAGATTGATACCTAGGTAATTGGACATGTAGTTTTCCACTTCACGTGTATCGGTCGTTTTATGCCAAAATGTTTTGTTGATATCTCTCAGGAAAGCCTTCCATTTCACGTCATCATTGACTATTTGTCGGATGGTGTGCAGCATATTTGCAGCTTTATAATACATGTCTCCCGATCCATTTTTGTTTACGCCATATGGGCCTATGATGGGTTTGTCATTGATGACTGCTTTTCTAGTGCCTACCACATATTCTGCTCCAGCTGTTTTCCCAAACAAATACTCGGTGTAAAGATTTTCTGAATATGCGGTAAATCCTTCATGAATCCAATTGTCGGCAACATCTCTCGCTGAAATATTATTTCCGAACCATTCGTGACCTGACTCGTGGACGATGATGAAATCCCACTTCAGTCCCCAACCTGTGCCTGACAAATCCCTTCCCATATATCCTTGATTAAATCGGTTGCCGTAGGCGATGGCAGATTGATGTTCCATACCTAAATGCGGAGATTCAACAAGTTTGTAACCATCTTCATAAAATGGATATTTCCCAAACCAAGATTCAAAACATCTCAACATCGATTTGGTCTGTTTGAAATGTTCTGTGGCCTTTTCTTTATTGTAATCAAGTACCCAATAATTGATGTCCAAGATACCACCTTCTCCATGAAAAGTATCTTGAATATTGACATACTTGCCTATATATGGTATGATGTTGTAATTATTTATTGGGTTTACCACTGCCCAATGATAAGTTTTGGTAGCATCAGGATTAGTCTTTATGGATCTAAGCCTACCACCTGCTACAGTCACTAGATTTTCAGGTGCAGTAATTGACATCGCAACACTATCCGGCTCATCATACATATGGTCTTTATTTGGAAACCATACACTTGCCGCCATTCCTTGACAAGCGATAGACATCCATGGGTTTTTGTTGTTATCTTTTTGCCATATCATACCTCCTTGCCATGGTGGCATTTTGGCTACTTTGGGACTTCCGTGAAAGTAAAATGTAACTTCATTCATTTCGCCAACTATTTGTTTATTAGTAAGTTGGACGAAATAGGCATCGTCTTCTTGTGTCCATGTACATTTCTGATTATTCTGAATGACACTATCCAAAATCATTGGTATTTGAAGATCTATCTGCATAGTTTGGTATGAAGACAGCACTTTATAAGATGTTATGTTTTTACCAGAAATGGTCTTGTTTTCAGGATCAAATCTTGCATGTAAATCATAGTGGGTGACATCCCACCATTTTCGCTCATTACTATGATTTCCTTTTAAAGAATCTGCACGTTCGAAAATGATATCTTGAGCAAAAACATAATTTGCAGCAAAAAATAGGCTGATGAAAATGACAACTTTATATGACATAATACTGGAATAACTGATTTGTAAACGCTAAATTATGGTAAATCTTTGGTCAAAAAAAGATATCGACTACTGAAAACGAAAATAATGGACAAAACGTATATATATTTCTACAACCTACTCATTTCTAGACCTGCCAAATATCCACCTGTCCAAGCTGCTTGAAAATTAAACCCACCAGTTACCGCATCAATATTCAATATCTCGCCAGCCATAAAAAGTCCTGGTTGGATCTTACTTTCGAAACACTTAAAATTAATTTGACTTAATGCCACACCACCTGCTGTCACAAATTCTTCTTTAAAAGTTGACTTTCCTGAAACTGTAAATGAAGCAGATTTTAGATTTTGTACAATAGCATTTAACTCGATTTTTGAAAGCGATGCCCAGTTTTTTTCTTTATCTGAAATGATGTCATCAGTCATATATGTCCACAATCTAGAAGGTAGTCCAAAGACAGGATTAGAAACAACTTTTTTCTTGGCCATTGTATCGCGCAATTCTGTAATCTGTTCTATGTGTACATCAGGTACCCAATCTATAATAGCATCAAAAGCATATTTTTTTTCTTCGAGTACATTTGCTCCCCATGCAGAAGCTTTAAGAATAGCTGGACCGCTAAATCCCCAATGTGTAATCAGCAGAGGACCATTTGTCTTTATTTTGGTATCTTTTATTTGAACGTTCGCCTTTGGAACTGATAATCCCATCAATTTGCAAATAGGATTATTCGGGAGATTGAAAGTAAAAAGTGATGGAACAGGTTCTACGATTTTATATCCGTGTTCTTTTAGCATATTCCATATAAAAGGACTGCTACCTGTGGCTAACATTAATCGTTTTGATTTGTAATGGATTGATTCTGTGTTGATTTCAAATTTATATTCATCTTCTTCAGAATAATTAAATCCTTTTACCTTTACGTTTTGAATAACTTTAATACCCAGTTTTTGCGTCAAGCCTTGAAAGCACCTTATAATTGTCTCCGAACTATCTGAGTCGGGAAACATCCTTCCATCAGCTTCCGTTTTTAGGTTAACACCATGATTCTTAAACCATTCTATTGTTTGTGTAGGACCAAAAGTGTGAAAAGGTCCTAGCAATTCCCTTGCTCCACGTGGGTAATATGTTGTCAATTCCTTCGGGTCAAAACAAGCATGTGTGGCATTGCAACGTCCACCACCTGAGATACGCACCTTGTTGAGTACTTCTTTGGATTGCTCCAAAATAATAATACGCAAACTAGGATTGTGTTCAGCAGCAGTGATCGCCGAGAAAAAACCCGCGGCGCCACCACCTACAATTATTATATCTACTTCTGTCATCCTGCAAAGATAAAAATATCTTGCTTTAGATAACTAAAAGGTCTGTTTTACACTTTAAAATTATTCCTATTTAGTCATGACTAGGACTACTTTTATAATGTACACCTTGCTCTACACTTTTGCCAAATACTTCTGGGTGCATATATTTCCCCTTTTCTTCTGCTGACTTTTCTTGTTCTGCAATGATTCTATATTTTTCAGCAAATTTATCCTTTCTGATACCTGTTACTTGCCATGAGATTTTAAGACCAGGTGTACCACCAGCAATTTTGAATGAATTGTTTTTGACTTCTTCTTTAATATAGACTGGTGCAAAAGCGCCAATGGGTGTCAAGGAATATCTAAAATCTGTATTTAAAGCATCAAAATAAGATGGCAATTTAACCACAGCTTCCCCTGAAACATCCAAAATAATGGTACCATTATACATATTCATCATATCAGGTGACTCTACGACCGAATGATTTAAGTATTTGTTTGCTGGGTCCAAAGGGTGATCAATTTTGAAAGTGCTAGATCCTTTTGCAATATTGCCAGTTACCGTCAAATCTTTTGTCATTTGTACTCGACCTCTGAAATATCCTGCATAACCTGTGGTATTTGAGTCTTCATTGTCACCATATATCGCTTCGCCTGTTGTGACGCTGCCATAAATAGCCTTCCCTCTTTTATTAAAGCCGAAGACACTTACTGAGTTAATTCCGTCCGCAGTACTATGAACACCATAGCCATCTTGTGAATTGTTTAATGCTCTTACTGCTGCTTGTGATTGATCAAATGATGACGTGATTCCTACTAGACCACTACCTCTCTGTGATGTGCCCGTAACACCATCGCCAAGACCTGCAAATCCACTTACGCCCGAACCTGCATCTGTATCTCCACGCACACCTATGCCTGTAGGTGTTGAAAGTTGAGCAGTTGTTACTCTTCCATGGACACCAATATTTTCAGAGACGCCTTGGATGGCAGTGCCTTGTGTCAATCCTGAACCAGTATGGGTTGCTAAAAGTGCGGGTGTATTTGCAACTGTGCTTTTGAATTTAGCATTACCATTGACATCTAATTTTGCTGTGGCCGGCGCCACTCCTATACCCACATTGCCATCTAATTCATATATAGTGGATTTTGTGATTGTATTTGGAGCTGTCCATTTCGTCAAAAAATTAGGATCATTAGTTCCTGTGCTTATGACTGTGCCACCACTATTGGTAGCAGAAATGGTAATATCA